AATGTGCTGGGATAACAAGCATGAGCCACCTCATCCAGCCTATTGTAATTATTATTTTGAGACAGGGCCTCTCTCTGTCACCCAGCCTGGAGTCCAGTGGTTCAATCATAGCTCACTGCAGCCTAAAACTTCCAGGCTCAATTCATCCTCCAGCCTCAGCGTCCTGAGTAGCTGGGACTACAGTTGTGCAACACCATGCCTGGCTAATTTTTGTATTTTTTTGTAAAGATGGGGTCTCACCATGTTGCCCAGGCTGTCATCCTTTTTTTTTTTTTTTTTTTTTGAGACAGAGTTTTACTCTTGTCACCCAGACTGGAAGGGCAGTTGCTCGATCTCAACTCACTGCAACCTCTGCCTGCTGGGTTCAAGCGATTCTCCTGCCTCAGCCTTCCAAGTAGCTGGGATTACAGGCGTGTGCCACCACACCCAGCTAATTCAGCTAATTGTGTCTTTTTTTTTTTTTTTTTTTTTTTTTTTGAGATGGAGTTTCGCTCTTGTTACCCAGGCTGGAGTGCAATGGCGCGATCTCGGCTCACCGCAACCTCCGCCTCCTGGGCTCAGGCAATTCTCCTGCCTCAGCCTCCTGAGTAGCTGGGATTACAGGCACGTGCCACCATGCCCAGCTAATTTTTTGCACTTTTAGTAGAGACGGGGTTTCACCATGTTGACCAGGATGGTCTCGATCTCTCGACCTCATGATCCACCCGCCTCGGCCTCCCAAAGTGCTGGGATTACAGGCTTGAGCCACCGCGCCCGGCCTAATTGTGTCTTTTAAGTAGAGATGGGGTTTCACCATGTTGGCCGGGCTGCTGTCAAACTCCTGACATGAGGTGATCCACCCGCCTCAGCCTCCTGAAGTGCTGAGATTACAGGCGTGAGCCACCTGTCAATGTTTTAAGAAAATTTTATTTATGGACACTTTATGAAAATTATATAAATTTGAGTTTTATTATTTTAAGGTGGGGTTTCACCATGTTGGTCAGGCTGGTCTTGAACTCCCAACCTCAGGTGATCTGCCCGCCTTGGCCTCCAAAGTGCTTGGATTACAGGCATGAGCCACCATGTCCAGCCATGAATTTGAATTATACATGATTTTTTTTTTTTTTTTTTTTTTTTTTTTTTTTTTTTGAGACAGAGTTTCGCTCTTGTTACCCAGGCTGGAGTGCAATGGCGCAATCTCGGCTCACCGCAACCTCCGCCTCCTGGGTTCAGGCAATTCTCCTGCCTCAGCCTCCTGAGTAGCTGGGATTACAGGCATGCGCCACCATGCCCAACTAATGTTTTGTATTTTTAGTAGAGACGGGGTTTCACCATGTTGATCAGGGTGGTCTCGATCTCTTGACCTCGTGATCCACCCGCCTCGGCCTCCCAAAGTGCTGGGATTACAGGCGTGAGCCACCGCGCCCGGCCTGAATTATATATGATTTTTACTGTCACTAAACATTAAACATTTTTTTGGTTAGGCACAGTGGCTCATGCCTGTAATCTCAGTGCTTTGGGAGGCTATGGTGGCAGGATCCCTTGAAGCCAGGAGTTTGAGACAAGCCTGGGCAAATATAGTGAGCTCCCACCTCTACAAAAAATTTTTTAAAATCCTTAGGTCTGGGCCAGGCGCGGTGGCTCAAGCCTGTAATCCCAGCACTTTGGGAGGCCGAGACAGGTGGATCACGAGGCCAAGAGATCGAGACCATCCTGGTCAACATGGTGAAACCCCGTCTCTACTAAAAATACAAAAAAAAAAATAGCTGGGCATGGTGGCGCGTGCCTGTAATCCCAGCTACTCAGGAGGCTGAGGCAGGAGAATTGCCTGAGCCCAGGAGGCGGAGGTTGCGGTGAGCCGAGATCGCGCCATTGCACTCCAGCCTGGGTAACAAGGGCGAAACTCCGTCTCAAAAAAAAAAAAAAAAGAAAAAAAATCCTTAGGTCTGGTAGTCCAACTTACTAAAGAGGCTAAGGCTGGGGGATTGCTTGAGCCTCAGGCTTTGTCTTTTAAAAAATCCAAACTTTTTTTGGAGGGGGTGGAGGAGGAAAAAACAAAAACAAAACTTTTTTCCCCTATGGTTTAAAAATGTGAAAACTGGCAGTGCCTCAAAAAGTTAAACATAGAATTACCATATGATCAGGCAGTACTACTCCTGGGCATATGCCCAGAAGAATTGAAAGCGGGAACTGCAAACAGATATTTGTACATCTATGTTCAGAGCAGCATCACTCACAATAGCCAAAAGGCAGAAGTAGGCCAGGTGCAGTGGCTCACGCCTGTAACCGAGCACTTCGGGAGGCTGAGGCGGGTAGATCACCTGATGTCAGGAGTTCAAGACCAGCCTGGCCAACATGGTGAAACCCCGTCTTTTTTTTTTTTTTTTTTTTTTGGAGATGGAGTTTCGCTCTTGTTACCCAGGCTGGAGTGCAATGGCGCGATCTCGGCTCACCGCAACCTCCGCCTCCCGGGTTCAGGCAATTCTCCTGTCTCAGCCTCCTGAGTAGCTGGGATTACAGGCATGCGCCACCATGCCCAGCTAATTTTTTGTATTTTTAGTAGAGACGGGGTTTCACCATGTTGATCAGGATGGTCTCGATCTTTTGACCTCGTGATCCACCCGCCTCGGCCTCCCAAAGTGCTGGGATTACAGGCTTGAGTTACCGCGCCCGGCCGAAACCCCGTCTCTACTAAAAATATAACAAAAGAAATTTGCCGGAGGTGATGGTGGGTGCCTGTAATCCTAGCTACTTGAGAGGCTGAGGCAGGAGAATCCTTGAACCTGGGAATTGGAGGTTGCAGCGAGCCAAGATCATGCCACTACACTCCAGCCTGGGTGTCAACAGTGAAACTCTGTCTCAAAAAAAAAAAAAAAAAAAAAAAAAAAAAAAAAAAAAAAAAGGCGGAAGCAACTCAAATGTCCATCAATGGATGAATGGGTAAACACAATGTGGTTCATTCATACAAGGGAATATAATGCAGCCATGAAAAGGAAAACAGTGCCGTTTTTAGAGGAAGTCTCGATCTTCGGCCAGGCTGGAGCACAGTGGCACAATCTCAGCTCACCGCAACCCCCACCTCCTGGGTTCAAGCAATTCTCCTTCCTCAGCCTCCCAAGTAGCTGGGACTACAGGCACCTACCACCACACCTGGCTAATTTTTGTATTTTTAGTAGAGACAGGGTTTCACCATGTTGGCCAAGATGGTCTTGATCTCTCAGCCTTGTGATCTGCCCACCTCAGCCTCCCAAAGTGTTGGGATTACAGGTGTGAGCCACTGTGCTGGGCTGGGAAACAGTTTTGACAAAAGCTACCGCATGGATAAACCTTGGGGACACTATACTCAGTGAAATAAGCCGATACAAAAGGATTAACACTGTGTGATTCCATTCATAGAGGTCCCTAGAGTTGTCAGGTCTGTAGAGATAGAAAGTAGGAGCCGGGCCTGGTGGCTCACGCCTGTAATCCCACCACTTTGGGAGGCTGAGGTGGGTGGATCACCTGAGGTCGGGAGTTCGAGACCAACCTGACCAACATGGAGAAACCCCATCTCTACTAAAAATACAAAATTAGCTAGGTGTGGTGGCACAGGCCTGTAATCCCAGCTACTTAGGAGGTTGAGGCAGGAGAATCGCTTGAACCTGGGAGGTGGAGGTTGCAATGAGCCAAGATCGAGCCATTGCACTCCAGCCTTGGCAACAGAAGCAAAACTCCATCTAAATAAAAAAAAAAAAAAAAAAAAAAAAAAAAAAAAAAAAAAAAAAAAAAAAGAAAGAAAAAGAAAGTAGGCTGGAGGGTGCCAGGGGCTGGGAACAGGAAGAGGGAGTGAGTGTTTCATGGGGACGGAGTCTCAGTTTGGGAAGAGGAGAAAGTTCCAGAGCTGGATGGTGGTGGCGGCTGCACACCAACATGAATGTGCTTAATGCTGCGGAATTGTGCACTGAAAAATGGCTAAAGTGGGCTGGGCATGGTGGCTCACATGTGTAATCCCAACACTTTGGGAGACTGAGGCGGATGGATCACTTCAGGTCAGGAGTTTGAATCTTGCTATGTTGCCCAAGCTAGTCACCAGGATAGAGTGAACCTCCCAGGTTCAGGCAATTCTCCCACCTCAACCTCCCAAGTAGCTGGGATTACAGGCACATGCCACCATGCCCAGTTAATTTTTCTCTTCTTTTCTTTTTTTTTTTTTTTTTGAGTTGGAGTCACTCTGTTGTCAGGCTGGAGTGTAACGGCACAATCTCGCAATCTCGGCTCACTGAAACCTCCACCTCCTGGGTTTAAGCAATTCTTTTGCCTCAGCCTCCCGAGTAGCTGGGACTACAGGTGTCTGCCACCATGCCTGGCTAAGTTTTTGTAGTTTTTTTTTTTTTTTTTTTTTTTTTTTTTTTTTTTTTTTAGTAGAGATGGGATTTCACCATGTTGCCCAGGCTGGTCGTGAACTCCTGGGCTCAGGCAATCTGCCTGCCTCAGCCTCCCAAAGTGCTGGGATTACAGGTGTGAGCCACTGTGCCTGGCCATAAACTATGATTCTGTTTACCAGTTCTATTGCTCATAGGCATTTGGGTCTGAACACGATATGTCATTCTCACCCAGGGACAAAATTATTATTACTATTTTAGAGAAGTGGTCTTGCTTGGTTGCCCAGGCTGGAGTGGCGTGGCGTGATCATAGCTCACTGCAGCTTCGAACTCCCCAGCTCAAGCGATCCTCTCCCCTCAGCCTGCTTGTCACCACCATGCCCAGCAAGAGACGTTGTTTTTGCCATGTTTACATCAGCCAGCCTCACATGCAAACCTCTGCTTCTCCACCTGTTCCTCAGACCACAGCCCCGGCATTACCCCTGGGCACCACCTCCTGACCAGTCTCTGGACATAAAAAGGGAGGCCTTACTGGAAGCGAGGCGACTTCCTCCTTCCTCCAGCCCTTAGAGGCTTCCCCTTGGCCCCAGATGTGGGATGCAAGGGTCAGGGGCCCAGGAACTTATTAGCCAAGACAGGAAGCCCCACCCCCGGGGGCTTCAAATAAAGAGCTTTGGTGCAGGAATGTGTGTGTCAGATCGGTCAGCTGAGCCCATCGACAGGGTAAGTGACAGCTGCTCCCGCCCTTGCCATCACACCAGCCGGGGCACTGGGTTGGAAGAGGAGCCTCCATCCCTGTCCCCTACGGAGATCCAGGGGTCCAGACCCCACTCCCTCCTTGGCCAGATCCTCCCCACATGGGCAGGGCTGACCCAGCTGTGGTCTCTTGGTTCCCTCTTTCAGCACCCGCAGGATGAAAGCTCTCTGTCTCCTCCTCCTCCCTGTCCTGGGGCTTCTGGTGTCTAGCAAGAAGCTGTGCTCCTTGGATGAAGCCATTGATGAGATGATCCAGGAGGGCACCAGCTCCCTAAGTGAGGACCCCCTGGGGCTAACCTCCCTAAGGGTCTCAGAGACCTCACTGATCCCAGCCCCAGCGCTCGACAAATCTCGTGGTCAAATCCAACCAGATCATAAATTCAACCGCAGCTCCATTCCCAACCCCTCCCTGCCCCGTCTCCCTGCCCCGTCTCCCTGCCCCGTCTCCCGGCCCCGTCTCCCGGCCCCGTCTCCCGGCCCCGTCTCCCGGCCCCGTCTCCCGGCCCCGTCTCCCGGCCCCGTCCCCACCTTTACCCACAGCTCCAAACCCAATCCCCATTCTCACCCCAAATCTTTCCTTACTCCAAAACACCCAAGTCAAGACAGGATCCCGGAGGCTGGAGAGCACCTAAGCCCACCGGGACCCAGCTCCAGACCGCCAGGGCGTTTGTAGCTGGAGGATGGGGGAGGGGCCGTTTAGTCTCACAGTCCCTCCTTCCTCTCTCCCTCCTGCAGTATTTAAGGCAGTAACGAGCATTCGCCTGGAGTGCCAGAGCGTCACCTCCAGGGGGGACCTGGCTACTTGCCCCCAAAGTGAGTGCAGAAGCCTGTTGTCAAGGCGCCCATCTCTGTTCCAAGCCCCCTGGGAATGCCCCCTCCCCGCCACGTTCCCCAAGTCCAGCCTCTACTCCCCTAGGATCCTGGTTCTGACTCCCAGCCTTCTCCACCCACCATCTGGACACTGGTGTTCACCCTAATTTCCTGCCTCCAGTGCCCCTGGAGCTCCACGGGCTCTGGAGTAGTTGGAACCTCCAGCCGTCCTCGCCCCCGGCTCCCACCCCCAGGCCTCCAGCTCGGAGTCTAAGCTCCCCTGCTCCGGGCTGCAGGCTTCGCCGTTACCAGCTGCACATGTGGTTCCGCCTGTGGCTCGTGGGACGTGCGCGCCGAGACCACATGCCACTGCCAGTGCGCGGGCATGGACTGGACCGGAGCGCGCTGCTGTCGTCTGCGGTTCTGAGGTCGAGCGCAGCGCGTGCCCAGCGCGGTCGGAGGCGTCTCCAGGTCGGGAGGGGTGGGGGCGGAGCTGGTAATAAACCTGGAGATAATGATGATGATGATGATGATGATGGAGAAAATCTGAGCCCTCGTGGTTTCTTTAGTAGGGCCCGAGGGACTGATCTAGCGTCTCCAAGCAGAGCGGGGCGCACAGGTGCTGGATGGGGACGGGGACAGGGGACACCGCGGCTTTTGACTGCCCCAAACCCTTTCCTCCTATGGGGTCTCCAACTGCTTCCTCCGAAAATAGGGCCTGAAATTCCTCTAGTGACGTCCCCGCCCAAGGCTCATGGCCGCCTTCGGGAGGGGACGTCAGGAAGTGGACTGACAGGAAACTGACGGGAAGTGGAGCTCAGGTGGTAATGGGAGCCATGGGGAGCTGCTGTCAATACAAAGGAGGCTTCTCTCACTTGCCCCCCACTCATCTCCTGCTGTGCGGCCCAGTTCCTCACTCCTGGTGGTTGGGACCCCTGTTCTAGAGCATCCCCTGCCACAGCTCTCTGGGACACACATTTGGGTGATTCAGGGTCCAGTTCTACAAGAAGCCTGCCCCAGGAGTCTTGCCATCCAGTCACTGATTTGCCACCACAGACTTCAGAATTCCTAGCGCCTAGGAATCTGATAGGGATCCCAGACTCAAATGTCCCATCAGGACAACAGGTGATAGGGTGAGGTTACAGTTTTCAGGATGTTTCGGATGCTCCTCCTACTGCCACCCACCCCCTGTGATGGCCCAGCCCCCTGTCTGATCCTGGTGGCCATGAGCAGAGATTACGACCACTCTGGGGCCAGAGACCCCACTCGGACTCCAGCCCAGGGATTCCCTCGTCAGACCCTCTCTCCTGACTCCACTGTGGTCATGTGGGTGGGGTGGGACCACTGAGTCAGAAGTGTGGTCAGGGCCAGAGAGGGTGAGCCTAGTGCCTGTGTGTCCCTGCCCCTCATTGCTCTGTGTGTGTGTGTTGGGGGAGGGATACTCCATTGTCCCCAGAACTATTTGTCTCCATGCCTCATCCAATAGCCCTGTGTCTGGACCCTAAGAGGGATCTCTTCAGATTCCTCAGTCCCAACACAGATCCTCTTCTGTCCCAGAGTGCAGGCTTGGAGATCATATCTGCCCAGGTGACATGGACAGGCAAGCCCCCTATTCGAGCCTCCATTTCCTCATCAGCTAATGCTTAGATCCCCTGTGTTAGGCAAGATTATTCTCCTCCTTCCCCTCCTCCCCCCTTTCCCCTCCTCTTCCCCCTCCTGCATCCTCCCCTTCCTCCTCCCTCTCCCCTCCTCCTCCTCCTTCTCCTCCTCCTCCCGTTCTTCTTGCCTTCTTCCCCTCTTTCTCCTTCTTCTTGTTTCTTCTCCTCTTCATCGTCCTTCTCCTTCTTCTTCATCTTCTTCTTCTTCCTCCTCCCCTTGTCCTCCTCCCCTTCTTCCTTTTTGAGATACAGTATCACTCTCTCATCTAGGCTGGAGTACAGTGGCACAATCTCAGCTCACTGCAACCTCCACCTCCAGGTTCAAGCAGTTCTGCCTCAGCCTTCTAAGGAGCTGGGATTACAGGTGTGCACTATCATGGCTGGCGAATTTTTGTGTTTTAGTATACACAGGGATGTCACCATTTTGGCCAGGCTGGTCTCGAATTCCTGCCTCAGCCTTCCAAAGTGCTGGGATTACTGGTGTGAGCCACCAAGCCCAGCCGAGGCAATATTCTTCTGCTTGCAAGTACAACAGCCCCCACTTCAAATTAGCTTGAGCAAAACAGAAAGGAAGTTTCTGGTTTGTGTAACTGACAAGCCCAGGGTTAGAACAACAGGTTCGGATATGGCTTAGAACCAGGGTCTCAAATGATGTCTCCAGGACCCAGACTTCCTCTTTGATCTGATTTTCTCAGCACTACCTCTACTTTCAAGTAGGTTCTTCTCTGTCACAGGTCCCATTACATCCTCCTATTTTGGCAGCCCTAGTGAAGTTTGGGGGGGGGGTGGAAAGCTTTTTTCCCCCTGGTTAAACCAATCAAGTCCCAGACCAGAATTTCACTGGCTGGGTCTTGCTCAAATACCCACCTCTCTGCCCAATCTTAGATTCTGATTGGCTGAGTCTGGATCATTTGTCCACTGTAAACCAATCCTTAGCTTATGTTTGGTTGAACCTAGGATACATGTTCATACTTAAAAGAAATTTGAGAATGTTACCCCATGAAAGGGGCAGGTGCTGGTCAGGCAGCTTCACAGTTGTTTCCCACGTGACATGATCGCTGTGGACCTCTGGTTTAGTGTGACCTTTTTCTCAGATCAGATCGGGTGCATTCAGGGTGGTATGGCCATAGAAGTGTGACCTTTCTCTCAAAGAAAGTCCAGAGCCGGGCTTAGGTGCAGACATGGCCAAGTCCAAGAACCACACCACACACAACCAGTCCCGAAAATGGCACAGAAATGGTATCAAGAAACCCCGATCACAAAGATACGAATCTCTTAAGGGGGTGGACCCCAAGTTCCTGAGGAACACGCGCTTTGCCAAGAAGCACAAGAAGGGCCTAAAGAAGATGCAGGCCAACAACGCCAAGGTCATGAGCGCACGTGCCGAGGCCATCACCGCCCTCGTAAAGCCCAAGGAGGTTAAGCCCAAGATCCCAAAGGGGGGTGTCAGCCGAAAGCTCGATCGACTTGCTTACATTGCCCACCCCAAGCTTGGGAAGCGTGCTCGTGCTCGCATTGCCAAGGGGCTCAGGCTCTGCCGGCCAAAGGCCAAGGCCAAGGCCAAGGATCAAAACAAGGCCCAGCCTGCACCTCCAGCTTCAGTTCCAGCTCAGTCTCCCAAAGGTGCCCAGGCCCCTACAAAGGCTTCAGAGTAGAGATCTCTGCCAGTGTGAGGACAGAAGGACTGGTGCGACCCCCCGGGGCTGCCATCTGCATGGGGCTGGGGTCCTCCTGTGCTATTTGTACAAATAAACCTGAGGGAGGAAAAAAAAAAAAAAAGAAAAAAAAAGAAAGTCCAGAGCCTGGAGACAGGTCTCAGCCCCCAACCAAACCAGGAAAATATGCAACGCTGTGGCTCCACCCTCCCGGTCTGTCCATCAAGGCAGAGCCCACATCCAATTGGTCCGTCTGCTCCATTAGAAAGCCGTCCTGTAGCTCAATAACTGACTTCTCTGGAAGACCACATAGAGGAGCTGGCATGAAGTCATTATTAAATTGATCTTTCTTGGAGACGCAGGGTTTGGCAATACTTTAGGAAACAACGTGATCCTTACCGTATCTCGACGCTCATTCCTCAGCATTCAAGTTGTCTCAAATTGAATCACATATTTTAAACCAAAACATCATCACTTTCTGCACATAAGACAGAGTCTTATACTTGAGTGTTTTTTTTTTTTTTCTTTAACCTTAAAGGGAGGAAACTAAAATTCTCAAGACCTACACTGTCCATCAGCACCCTTGAGCACTTGAAAGGTAGTTAGTCCGAACTGAGGTGTTCAGTCTATACACACTTGTTTTCGAAGACTTCGTGCCAAAAAACGGAATACAAATAGGCTCATTAATCATTTAAAAAATACTACCTTCATGCTGAAATGATCATAGTTTGGGTATATTATGTTAATAAAAATCGTATTCGGATTTTTTCACATATTAGCATTCTTTTGGCTGACCTCTTTTTAGCCTTTTAATGTGGCGGCTAGACATTTTTATTTATTTATTTATTTATTTATTTATTTATTGTAGACTGAGTCTCCCTCTGTTGCCCAGGCTGAGTGCAATGGTGTGATCTCAGCTCACTGCAGCCTCTGCCTCCCAGGTTCAAGAGATTCTCCTGCCTCAGCCTCCCGAGTAGCTGGGATTACAGGCGCTCACCACCACACCTGGCTAATTTTTGTATTTTTAGTAGCGACGGGGTTTCACCATGTTGGCCAGGCTGGTTTCGATCTCCTTACCTCAGGTGATCCGCCTGCCTCAGCCTCCCAAAGTGCTGGGATTACAGGTGTGAGCCACCATGCCCAGCCTCCTCCAGAGTTGCAAAAAAGCAGGGCATTTGGGGAGGGAGGGAAGGATGTGGGTCTGCCCTCAGTCCCAGAAGTGGGTGTGGCGTTCCAGTGGTTAGTTCCCGTTGCTTCACATCTGTGCTTTTCCTCCCTGGGGCCTTCTAGAAGAACTTCTTGGGGTGGAGCTGAGGGGCGGAACTGAGGCTGGGGAGAGGAAAGTGTTGGGGGAGCCGGGAGTCCTGTCTCCAAGCCTGGTTGCTCTTCTCCGAAAAGTTGGGACCCTGAGGTGTCACAGCTTCTCTTTTGAGATCGGACTGGAGTTAGGAGGGTGAGGTCCTTCCTGGTAGACACAGACACACATAGACACACAGCTTCCTGTAACATTTCCAGGTGTCCTATTCCATCTCCCCATTTAGGGGGTTTTCTTCTTGGTCCTTCCTGAGACCCCTTGGCTCCCAAGACCCCCCTGATCGGGGCAGGGATGAGAGTGCCCCAGGGTGGGAGGGTTCGTGGATCCCTGAAAAGAGGAGGCTGCTCCCCCTCTTCCCTCTCCCCACCTTCAGATTTCCTCATCTGCCTCGACACCTTCCGGTGGGCGGAGACATGTATGGACTAATTTGCCGGCTGGGGACCCTGGACGTGGAGGAAATCCACAAGCACCAGGAAGTCAAGATGCAGGCACCAGCCTTCAAAGAGAAGAAACGGGGGGTCCCAACCAAGAATCAAGGTTAGGAACCTCAAGGTGGAAGGGAGGGGTCAAGAAGAAGTTGGGAGATCGGGGGCTGGGGCTCACATCTGTAATCCCAGCACTTTGAGAGGCTGAGGCGGGAGGATTGAGTGAGCCCAGGAGTTACAGACCAGCCTGGGCAACGTCGGGAGACCCTGCCTCTAAAAAAGTAAGAATAAAAAAGGAAGGGGTTCAAATGGGAGAGGTATGGGGTTAAAGGTGGGGGCCAGGGGCTCCTTCCCCTCCAAGATGTGTGTGTGTGTGTGTGTGTGTGTGTGTGTGTGTGTGTGTGTGGTGTGATTGCTCAAACCTTCATACACCTACTCTGCTTAACCAAAAAGCAGATTTTAGCTTCTCACTTTTTATCTTTCATCCTCTACAATTTACTGAGTGCAGACGGTTGGGTAAACCAAGACCCCAGATCCCCTCTCCACACCACAGAGATCTGAGCAGGTTTCCAAACCGCCCCCACCCTGTTCCCACCACTGCTTCCCACGCAGGTGCCCATGACCCAGACTATGAGAATATCACTTTGGCCTTCAAAAACCAGGACCAAGCGAAGGGTGGTCATTCACGACCCACGAGCCAAGGTGAGCAGACACCCACCTGCTCACATCCCATCATATCTTGGGAAGGGACAGGTAGGTGGGCATCTGCGGGGCCCCAGGCCTGAGACCTCTTGGCTCCTCATGGAAGGGAGGAGGCAACGGGGAAGGAAGAAGTGACAGCTGTTGATGTGCTAATGAGGTCTGTTGCTGGTGATGATGTTGGGGAGTGCTGGTGAGGGTCTGCGATGGGGATGGTATGAGGATCGCTGAGGGTGGCTGGTGGTGGCAGCGTTGTTGACGATGACGGTGAGCCGCATGGGCACAGCTGCTGATGGTTTTGGGAGGAGCGAGGCGTCCACGCTGTTAGAGAAAGTGGGGATGGTCTGAGTGGTGGTGCTGGCCCCACGAGCTCACTTGGCTGCCTCTCTGCTCCAGTCCCATCGCACTGCAGGCCACCCTCAGACTCTATCCAGATCCCCTGTTGGTTGTACAGAGCCATCCTGAGCGTGTACGCCCTCTTGGCCCTGGCCTTCATCCTCTGCATCGTCCTCTCGGCCTTCATCTTGGTGAAGAGTGAGTGCTTGTTCTCGGGAGGAGGGTGCGGGGGGGCCCAGGCTGTCTCCCTTGTCCCTCTCCCTCTCTCCCTCGGCGCTTCAGGGATTTTCCTGCCCCTCCTGAACAGATTCTGAGATGTCCAAGGAGCTGGTGGACTTAAAAAGGGACCTTTGGAATGGTGAGTGGAGGGTCTGGGGGAGACCCATGGGGTAATGGTGGGGGTGTGGAGAGGGGTGGATGCACAGACACCCCTGTTTCATGCCCTCAGTCTCAAACTCCATGCAAACATGTGAGAAGAGGCAGAAGGAAAGCTGCGAGTCCATTAAGGAGAGCATCAAAGGGGTCAGAAGCAAGGTGGAGAAAATAGAGACACTGTTAGCAGGTGCCTGCGTAGTCCCGCCTTCTGTGGGGGGAGGGGATTTGTCACCAATGCCCGGCATCCAGTTGGGGGCAGGGGAGTCAGGGGAGGAGATAGCTGGGGTCTGACCCTCCCAAAGCTCAAGTTGTGGAAAGGTGATGGATGTTACCCTCTGGGTCGCTTCGTGGGTATTTAAAGGCTCCTGGGAGCCAGGTGCAGTCACTCATGCCTGTAATCCCAGCACTTTGAGAGGCTGAAGCAGGTGGATCACAAGGTCAGGAGTTTGAGACCAGCCTGGCCAACATGGTGAAAACCCTGTTTCTACTAAAAATACACACACACACAAAAATATTAGCCAGGCATGGTGGCACATGCCTGTAATCCCAGCTACTCAGGAGGCTGAGGCAGGAGAATTGCTTGAACCAGGGAGGCGGAGGTTGCAGTGAGCCGAGATCACACCATTGAACTGCAGCCTGGCTGACAGAGTGAGACTCTATCTTTTTTTTTTTTTTTTTTTTTTTGAGACGGAGTTTCGCTCTTGTTACCCAGGCTGGAGTGCAATGGCGCGATCTCGGCTCACCGCAACCTCCGCCTCCTGGGCTCAGGCAATTCTCCTGCCTCAGCCTCCTAAGTAGCTGGGATTACAGGCACGCACCACCACGCCCACCTAGTTTTTTGTATTTTTAGTAGAGACGGGGTTTAACCATGTTGACCAGGATGGTCTCGATCTCTCGACCTCGTGATCCACCCGCCTCGGCCTCCCAAAGTGCTGGGATTACAGGCTTGAGCCACTGCGCCCGGCGAGACTCTATCTTTAAAAAAACAAAAAAAAAGTCTCCTGGGAACCTCAAATCCAGGCATGGGGCAGGGAGGGGGCTTCCAAGGAAGGTGGGGGCTTTGTTTGAGGCTCCAGCACAGCTTGACTGATCTGTCCTCACTCAATCCTCCCCACCCGCCAGACATAAAAAACATTGAGACAAAGGTACAGAGAATCTTGGAGGTGCTGGAGAAAACACCAAGTAAGTTGGGGCCCCAGGGGGAGGTGGATGAGGGTGGCTGGGTGGGGCTTCTGATTTAGCCCCAGCTTCTCTCCCAGGGGTGGGATCTGTCTCACTGTAGGTCTCTCCCCATCCCCAGTGTCTTCATCTAAATAAAGGAGGGGACATTGTGGCAGCCAAAGCCACAGCTTGGAAGATGGGGTTGCACCTGCTGATGAAGACGGGAAATGACCCCCCACCAGCCTAGTGCAAATTTACTCCTCGTCCTGCATATAGAAAAACCTCTAGTCGTGGTGAATGAGTGTCTCAGAGCTGCTTGTGTGAATGTGTGTGTGTGCATATGTGCATTTTGCCGAGGGTGGCCATTTCAATGTGTCCCCCAGAAAGGTGAATGAATAGGACCATGAGAATCACAGTGAGTGTGGCATGCATGCTTGTGTCACGTGACATGTGTGAGTCTTGGCATGTCCCGGTGGGTGGCTGTGTCTGAGGACCTCCAGCAGATGTCACTCTGTAGTGTGGGTGTCGGTGACATGCACTGCACGGGGCCGTCTCCCTGTTTGTGTAAACGTGCCTGAGTGTACTGCGGCATGTTGTGGGTCTACACGTCATGGGAGGGGGGAGATGTGCACACTATGGAAAGGTATCTCTGTACGTATGAGTGTCACCATGTGTGCCCTGTCACTACATGTGCCTGGGTGAACGGCTGTGTCATTATGAGTGTGCTGACTTATGCCATCCTGTGTGTTCAGGGCACATGCACACAGACAGTCATTTATTTCTGCACTCACATTTTGTGACTCATGAAGAGAAATAAAGAGAAAACAGCGTCGCTATGGCGCCTGTTACTGGGGCAACTGGAGGGGCTTTGGGACCTGAGAAGAGGGAGAGTCTGCGTGTAACAAAGACCCCAAGGCATGAGGGTGGGGGAAACTGAGTGCCCTGCATGAGTACCTGTGTGTCTGTGAATGGGCAACTCATTCCCTGTGTCCCAGAGTGGGTGACCCTGAGAATATAACGTTTCCCTGACTACACCTGGGCCCATGGATATATACAAGCCATAAGCGTGTACTCACGAGTTAATTGTGCCGTGAGTGTATCTGTGCCACTGAGCATGTATCCATAAGTGTACATGACCCTAATGTACTGTGCCCACCGCTCATGCCTGTACTTGATTTGTTTTTTTTTTGTTGTTGTTGTTTTGTTTTGTTTTTGAGACAGGGTCTTGCTCTGTCATCGAGGCTGGAGTGCAGTGGTATGAGACAGGGTTTCACTCTGTCACCTAGGCTGGAGTGCAGTGGTACGATCATGACTCATTGCAGCCTCGACCCCCTGGGCTCAGGCAATCCTCCTGCCTCAGCCTCCCGAGTAGCAAGGATTGCAGGTTCACACCACCACACTCGGCTAATTTTTTATAAAGAGGTGGAGTCTCCCTGTGTCGGCCCGGCTGGTCTCAAACTCCTGGCATCAAGTGATCCTCTCACCTCGGGCTCCGAAAATGCTGGGATTCCAGGCCAGAGCCACTGTGCCTGGCCACATGGATGCTCTTTGAGACAATAGAGCACAACCCCAAGGACGTAGGAGTGCCTGCAAACGTGAGCAGGAGTGTCCACGCGCAAGGGAATACATGGACTCACTGTCATACGTGTGCCCTGAGCAGGTGACCAGGCCTGCAAGCGTCCCCTCCAGCGTGGGCCACCCAGAGCCAGCGAGACCCTGGCCACGCGCGAAGCTGCGATCACGGCCGCGGGCCACGATCACAGCCTGGGTCCGGCTCCGCGGACTCGCGCGCCCCCCTGCGGCGGCTCTTGGCACCGCCGCACACGCCCCGCCCCGCCCACACGCCCGCCCGTCGCGCGCCTGCGCACGCAGCGCCTTTTACGGCGCCGTAAAGCAGCTCGGCCGAGCCGCCAGCTGCCGTTCTAGGTGAGACCCAGCCCGCGCCCCCTACCCGCGCCGGGCCTCCTCCGCTCCCCAGCCTTCCCCGCGCACCTGTGGGTCCCGGGCTGGGGTCTCCGCGTCCGCGATCACGGATCCGCTCGCTTTGGTCCCTCTCAGGAGGCTGCGAGGAGGGTGGGTTTCTCCCCAGTGTAGAGGTCCGGGGCGAGGGTCGCGGGGTCCCCGCCCTGCGGCGGTTCAGCTCACTTCACCCACCCCCGTCGCAGCCCGGTGGTGGGGTCTTAACATCTCCCTCCCATCTCGCGTGCCCAGGGCTCCCCCCACGGACGGATCTGCATGTTGGGGCGGGGGCTGCCCGGAGCCCCTGGGACCCCCCTCCCCGCTGGTCGTCCCCCTCCCACGCAGACCTCACTGGGGCCGGCTCAGCGTCCTCAGACCACCCTACGCGTGGTGGAGGCGGGGTTCTCAGCTGCCCCTCCCATCCCGTCTCGGTGCCTGACCCCCATTTCTCTCCAGGAGCCCCGTACCCGATCTCCCTCTCCCTACACCCACAGCTGATGGGAGGAGCACAGTTTCTCAGAATGTAGCTTCCTCTCCAGAGAGCACGAGGAGGTGGGGCAGGGGGAGAGGGGGAGGCTCCCAACACCTTTTCTGGGCCCCTCCTCCCAGCCTTCAGAACCCAGGCCCTTCCGTGTCTCAAAGGACGGGGGCTTCCTGCATGACACATCGGAGCTGCCCAAGGGCTTGGGGTTGGGGGTTCCCTGCCCCTCCTGCCTGGCCCCACGGCTCTCGCCTGTTCAAACCCCCAACCCTCCTGGCCTTTGGTCTTGACGCGCTCCCACCCCGCTCCCACCCTCCACCCCTTTTACTCTGGCTTTCCGCAAGGTGGGCGGGCGGGAAATTTCCCGGGGGTCGTCAGTGCTGGAATGCATGGCGGAGCAGGAGCGACTACCCATGTCCCCTCGTGGTGGCTCATCTTCGTCACCTCCCTGCCTTAGATCTGAGGCCCCTCCCCTCATAAACTAGTTTTCTAGTTACTCCCGTAGGTGGTGGAGCTGGCGGGAAGGCGCTTTTCGCTATTGAATTGTCTGGGTGATCGAAGATTGTGTGGTTTCCGGCGCCCTCTTCTGTTAGCCCACGTGTCTCTCCTCCCCCTTTCCCTCACTCCCCCTAGCCCGCCGCCTGCTGAAGGTTTAAGCTTCCCCGCGTCCCTGAATTGTCTGGTTACGTATAATCGAAGTGTGTTTTTGTTTTTGTTTTTGAGACGGAGTTTCGATCTTATTGCCCGGACTGGAGGGCAATGGCACGATCTCGGCTCACCGCAAGCTCTGTGTCCCTGTTCAAGAGATTCTCCTGCCTTAGCCTCCCAAGTAGCTGGGATTACAGGCATGCACCATCACCCCTGGCTAATTTTGTATTTATAGTAGAGACAGGGTTTCATCACGTTGGTCAGGCTGGTCTCGAACTTCCGACCTCAGGTGATCCGCCCGCCTCGTTCTCCCAAAGTGCTGGGATTACCGGCGTCAGCCACAGCACCCGGCCCATCGAGGCATGTTTTACGCGCATATCTTTGCATATGGGAAGTCAGCGCTGGAGCATACAATGGTGGTGTGGGGTGAGGGTGTCCCAGGGGCCCTCGCCGTTCTCCCTCCTTCCCTCCCCGCCTGGTCTCCTTCCCATTGCCCCTAACACCCATGCTTCCTGGTCTCCCCGCAGGGCGTTGGTGGGATGGAGGCGCGCTTCACGCGCGGCAAGTCGGCTCTGCTGGAGCGTGCGCTGGCACGGCCGCGCACCGAGGTGAGCCTGAGCGCCTTCGCACTGCTATTCTCTGAGCTGGTGCAGCACTGCCAGAGCCGCGTCTTCTCCGTGGCTGAGCTGCAGGCACGCCTCGCGGCCCTGGGCCGCCAGGTGGGCGCGCGTGTGCTGGATGCGCTGGTGGCACGAGAAAAGGGGGCCCGGCGCGAGACCAAGGTGCTGGGCGCGCTGCTCTTCGTCAAAGGCTCCGTGTGGAAGGCGCTCTTCGGCAAGGAAGCGGACAAGCTGGAGCAGGCCAACGATGACGCGCGCACCTTCTACATCATCGAGCGTGAGCCGCTCATCAACACCTACATCTCCGTGCCCAAGGAGAACAGCACGCTCAACTGTGCCAGCTTCACGGCGGGCATCGTGGAGGCAGTGCTCACACACAGCGGCTTCCCTGCCAAGGTCACGGCGCACTGGCACAAGGGCACCACTCTCATGATCAAGTTCGAGGAGGCTGTCATCGCCCGAGACCGGGCCCTGGAGGGCCGCTGACCCCGCTGGAGATAAAGGATACAGAAAGCTCCCTCCCTAAGTGTGTCTTGTGTCTTGTATGGGGGCCTCAGGTCCACATGTGTTTATAATAGAGTGGGGTGGTGGGGGCGGGACTGGCCATAGGGTTGGGGGTTGAGTGAGGCCAGGGGTGGCGGTGGAGGGGGTGGGCGCAGAATAAACCAGACAGAAGGAGTTGGTGGGAAATGCTGGCAGGTTCTGGAACCACAGCTGGAGGCTGTCTGCAGGCGGAAGGGGGCATGGTGTTCTGGGAGACGCATCAGGACAGACAGACGCCTTTAGACTTGGGGTGGGCAAACTGTGCAGAGGGCCAGATGGGCAATATTTTATGCCATGTGGTATCTACTTTTTAAATTTATTGAGATGGAATCTCTCTCTGTCACCCAGGCTGGAGTCCAGTGGCACAGTCTTGGCTCGCGGCAACCTCCACCTCCTCCTCCTGGGTTCAAGCCACCCTCCTACCTCAGTCTCCTGAGTAGGGGGGATTACAGGTGTCCACCACCACACCTGGCTGATTTTTTGTGTTTTTAGTAGAGACGAGGTTTCACCGTGTTGGCCAGGCTGCTCAGTACTTTAAAGTTAATTTAAAAACCCAGGATGAAGCCGGGCGCGGTGGCTCAAGCCTGTAATCCCAGCACTTTGGGAGGCTGAGGCGGGTGGATCACGAGGTCAAGAGATCGAGACCATCCTGGTCCACATGGTGAAACCCCGTCTCTACTAAAAATACAAGAAATTAGCTGGGCATGGTGGCGCGTGCCTGTAATCCCAGCTACTCAGGAGGCTGAGGCAGGAGAATTGCCTGAACCCAGGAGACGGAGGTTGCGGTGAGCCGAGATCACGCCATCACACTCCAGCCTGGGTAACAAGAGCAAAAACTCCGTCTCAAAAAAAAAAAAAAAAAAAAAAAACCCAGGATGATACAAACATTTTCCGTGTTAAAAATTTAAAATAAGTGTGGTGCAGTGGTACACCTGGAGTCCCTGCTATTCAGGAGGCTGAGGCAGGAGGATTGCTTGAGGCCAGGGGTTGGAGTCCAGCCTGGGCAACATAGTAAGACCTCATCTAAAAAAATTTAAAATAAGGCCAGGCGTGGTGGCTCATGTCTGTAATCCCAGCACTTTGGGAGGCCGAGGTGGGCAGATCATTTAAGGCTGGCAGTTCAAGACCAACCTGGCCAAAATGGCAAAACCCATCTTTACTAAAAATACAAAAATTAGCCAGGCGTGGTGGCAGACACGTGTAATCCCAGCTACTCGGGAGGCTAAGGTGGGAGGATCGCTTTAACCTGGGAGGCAGAGGTGGGAGTGAGCCAAGATTGAACCATTGGCACTCCAGCCTGGGCAACACAGTGAGACCCTGTCTGAGAAAAGAAAAAACAAAAGTAATACATCACGCCTCAGGTAATTCTTTCCCTTTTTGTTCATCACACTTGGTTGCTGACCACTTCTCCTCCCCAGGAAAAGTCCTTCCAGGTTTTTTGCAGGAAACCGTGATCCAACCTTCCCTGCTTCCTTTCCCCTGCCCCCAGGATGTGAGTAGACGGGTACCTGCAGAAAAGGAACTGCAGGTACTGTCAGCTGCGCTACCCTCACTGGTTATGAGAAGGGCCAAAGGGGTCGGCGTCGCCTCTCGATTTGTTTAGGATGCTCCATTGGGCTGCCTGGGGGACCAGGGCTGAGGGCTTGGTGAGGGGCAGTTTCAGTCATCCCAGCAAGAGGCATTGAGCAGGATGGGCTTCAGCATACCGGGGAGAAGGTGGGGGAGAAGGTGGCATCCCTAGAATAAGTGAAACCATTGAGCAGCCACCAGGCATAGCCCAGGGCTGATCTGGAATAGCTGTTGGCTGGTGGAGGTGAAGGGAGGTGCTGGGAGAGCGCTTGGGTAGGGTGACGGCCTGAATCTGGAATGAGGGGAGGTGTCTGTGGGGCCAGCAGATGCACAGGTCTGGGGGTTTGGGGTCTGGAGTCCTGGAGTGAGGTCTGTGTGTCAGCACAGAGACAGAAGCCACAGTCGTGGATGGGGGACAGAGGGAGGGAAGCGTGGTGTCTGAGAAGCTGGATTTCAGAGAAAAATGTGGGACACTTTGGGCTAAGCAGCCCCAGGCAGGTCCTCTGAGACCCTGGGGAGAGGGGCTTCCAGGACCTGCCAGGGCAGGGGCCAGAGGCAGGAGGGTGGAGTGGCACGGGGCCATTCTTCCAGGCTGTAAAGGGGGCGCCCAGTGAAGGAGGCCAGACAAATCCGGAGGGAGGAAGCGGGGCCGGGGGACTCCGTAAGCTGGGAGTGCAGGGCCCAGGGTCTGTTCCCACTCCCTGTCCCCACCTGGCCACCACGGGTGAGTTAGGGGGCTTGAGGAGAAGGGACAAGGTTTGGATAAGCTGTAGGGTTATGAGGCTGGGCCCGGGTCTGGGGCAATGGAGGATGAAGAGAAAGAAGAGGAGCCTGTGGTCCAGCAGCTTCTGATCACAGCGGCTCTAACTTAAGGTGCTTTGGGCTGCAAGGAAGGCCTCCCCTGGACCCTCCAGGTGGGTGGGTGAGAGGAGGAGGAGGAGGAGGAGCTGAGCACCAGCCTTTGGTGAGCTGGGTAAGCAGCATCACCTCATTTCCTGGGCAGGTTCCAAAAGAAGTCATGTGCCCATGGTTACACAGATTTATTTTATATATACATACGGAGAGAGAGAGATGGAGTCTCACTCTGTCACCCAGGCAGTGGTGCAATCTCTGCCTTCTGGGTTCAAGCAATTCTCCTGCCTCAGCCTCCTGAGTAGCTGGCACTACAGGTGCTGGCCACCACGCCTAGCTAATTTTGTATTTTGAGTAGAGACAAGGTTTCTCCGTGTTGGTCAGGCTGGTCTCAAACTTCTGACCTCAGGTGATCCACCTGCCTCAGCCTTCCAAGGTGCTGGGATTACAGGCTTGAGCCACCACACCCGGGCTTCCCACGGGCTTTTCTTATGGATTTGGACTTGGAGGTGGCATTGGGGAAGGGAAGAGGCACAATGACCTCAGTGTTGGCCTGAGCCACTGGTAGAGGAGTGTGGTGAGGGATGCCCTGCGCTCCTGACCTCCCTCCCATGGCCTCAGGGGCATGGGCTGACCTTGGCCAAGCCTCAGGCTGGTGCTACCTTGCCCTCCCAGGCCCTGAGTGGGGTTAACACCCCAGACCTGGAATGACCTCCGGTTGACCAGGCCAACTCCCCATCGGCCTGTACAGCCAGCCCAGCACTTCCTGAGCACCTCTGTGTACCAAGCCCTGTTCTAGGCACTTCCATGAGTGAACTCATGCCCTTCCTGCCTCTGGGTGGTCCGTTGCCTTCCCTACACTATTCCAAGGCACCCCTGGACATCAGAGTCTTCATGTCCTGTACATTCTCCTTGTAATAGGGCAGGAAAAAATTCAAACAGGGAGTTAGACTTCTACTTCAGTTGCTCCTCAATTTGTTTCTTTTCTCTTTTTTGTTTTTGAGACGGAGTTTTGCTCTGTTGCCCAGGCTGGAGTGCAGTGGCGCAATCTTGGCTCACTGCAACCTCCACCTCCTGGGTTCAAGTGATTCTCCTGCCTCAGCCTCTCAAATAGCTGGGATTACAGGCGCACACCAACACACCTGGCTAATTTTTGTATTTTTTTTTTTAGTAGAAGCAGGGTTTCACCATGTTGGCCAGGCTGGTCTCCAACTCCTGGTCTCAAGCGATCCGCCCACTTGAGCCTCCCAAAGTGCTAGGATTATAGGCATAGGCAACCATGTTTGGTTGCTCCCAATTTTTCTTTTTTAAGTCAGGGTCTCATTCTGTTGCTCAGGCTGGAATACAGTGACGCAATCTTGGATCACTGCAGTCTCTGCCTCTGGGGTTTATCCTGCCTTAGCCTCCTGAGTAGCTAGGATTACAGGCGTGTGCCACCACACCCAGCTAATTTTTGTAATTTTAATAGAGATGGGGTTTGCCATGTTGGCCAAACTCCTGACTTCAGATGACACCCTGCCTTGGCCTCCCAAAGTGCTGGGATTACAGGCATGAGCCACTGTGGCTGGCCAAAGATCTGATGTCCCGATTTTCAAAGGTGGTCTCAGGCAACAGACTGGAACTCCCCACTCCCATGTCCCACACCCAGAGACCAGACCCAGCCAGTCCTCCAAGAAGGGAACAAATGTGGGGGGGGGCATTATTGCATTTTACTGATGCCAGCTGGACAGGAGGACTCGCCACCTGAGCTGGGGGTGCTCAGGTCCTGGGGTGCTGAGGACATGGGGGTACATCTGGAGAGGGTGGTGTTGGGAATACTCCCATCTGGACAGGGTGCTGTTGAGGGGCACTTCTGGGGAGGCAGGGGCTGCAGAGGAGCCGGGATGTGTCAGCTGCCCCCCTTTGGGTGGGAGGAAATGTCACGGGGACCTTTCAGCCACAAAGAGGCATCCAGGCTGTGGCTGGGGGTCTTCAGGGTTTCACCCTGGGCTGGCTGGGTCCATGCTCAAGGGTGGAGAAGGGCAGAGGGGATAGGCAGGCGGTCGTCCTGGCCTGGTTCTGAATCAGGTCCTGGTTCCGGGGGCTCCGCGGAACCTTCCCTGGCTGGCGGCACGCACGTGGCCAGCCGATCGCACACCCAGGCGCCCAGCTTACGGTCACAGTAGATGTCGTTCCAGTCTCCAGAGCCCCGCATCATCACACAGTCTTCGCCCTGGTTCCGGTTGGTAGGCTCCTCTGGAGCCCAGTTGCTGGAGCAAAATGCTTTGGATCAGTGGATGGGGTGGGGAGAAGGAGCCTGGTTCCTGGCAGCCTGGACAGAGCCCTCTGAGTATGCGTCCTCCCTTCTCACCCCAGGTTCCCCCTTCCTGAGTCTGTGTCTTGGAACCTGTACCTCATTTTGGCACCCCATACCCTACAGCCCAAGACTCGCCCCCTTTTTTTAAAAAATACAGAATCACTCTGTTACCCAGGCTGGAGTATAGTGGTGCAATCTGGGTTCACTGCAACCTATACCTCCTGGGTTCAAGCGATTCTCCTGCCTTAGCCTCCCAAGAAGCTGGGATTACAGGTGCCCACCACCATGCCCAGCTAATTTTTCTTTTTTTGAGACTCTGTCACCCAGGCTGGAGTGCAGTGGCACGATCTCAGCTCACCGCAACCTCCACCTCCTGGATTCAAGCAATGCTCAGCCTCCCAAGTTGCTGGGACTACAGGTGTGTGCCACCAAGCCTGGCTAATTTGTTGTATTTTTAGTAGAGACGGAGTTTCACCATGTTAGCCAGGATGATCTCGATCTCCTGACCTCGTGATCCACTCGCCTCAGCCTCCCGAAGTCCTGGGATTACAGGCATGAGCCACCGCACCTGACTTAATTTTTGTTTTTTTTTTTGTAGATGGAGTCTCACTCTGTTGCCCAGGCTGGAGTGCAGTGGCGCTATCTCAGCTCATTGCAACCTCTGCCTCCCGGGTTTAAGCAATTCTCCTGCCTCAGCCTCCTGAGTAGCTGGGACTATAGGCGCCCACAACCACGCCTGGCTAAGGTTTTATTTATTTTATTTTATTTTATTTTATTTTTTAAATTTTATTTTAGGAGAGGTGGGTCTTCACTGCATTGCCAAGGCTGATCTCAAACTCCTGAGCCCAGGCAATCCGCCTGCCTCAGCCTCCCAAAGTGCTAGGATTGCAGGCATGAGCCATGGCGCCTGGCCAACTTTTTGTATTTTCCGTAGGGACAGGGTTTCGCCATGTTGACCAGGCTGGTTTTGAACTTCTGACAGGTGATCCACCCACCTTGGCCTCCCAAAGTGCTGGGATGACAGACATGAGCCGCTGTGCCCAGCCAAAACTCACTCTTCTAATCTGTGCTTGGAAATTCCTCCCTGAGCCCCTTCCTCTATATTCCCTCCTCCAGGCCAGGTTTCCCCCACCCGCTCTGGCTGTCCTTCCCTACACCCTAGAGATCCTTCTCTGAGCCCTCACATCCTTCCCAGAGACGTTTATCCAGGGAGTTCCTCCCTCCATGGTATTCCTGCCTCCTCCCCTGGATCCCAGAGGCCTCCTCCTCACCTGTAGTCCACAGGGGTCCCATCCATCCAGATAAACTCCCCCTTCAGGTCCAAGTTCCGAAGGCCAATCCAAGAGCCTGTGCGGCTGGCGTGCTTGATCAGGAAGTCCTGGGGGGCAGGACAGGGCTGGAGGACCGGGACATGTGCCTGGGGCTTTCCAGCCCACTTCAAGAGGTTGGGTTGAGTGCTGCCCACCGCCTCCGCAGAGCCCGAGCCCACCTGCTCCTCTTGGCTGTGGATGCTGACCAGCTGCCCTTCCACGTCTTCGCAGGCGTACCGGGCGTGGACCCACTGCTTGGTGCCCTTGCCGAAGTAGTAGCACTTCTGTTGGAAACTGACCCAGTTTTCCGGGCACGTGTTGCACACAAAGCCTAGGGTGGAGGAGAGGCTCAGGGCTGGTGCCAAGGGAGGTGCTGTGGGCACCCTGGGCAGAGGAGGTGGCGGCACCTCTCCTAGGGTCACTCCTGGGGTCCTGGCTAAAAGTGGAGCCACCCCAGGGCCTAAAAGATGGCCTCACAGACTGTGTTCTTTGCTGGAGCTATGATGCTGACCAGCTTCACAGAAGAAGTACCCCAGTCACCATGGCCACAAACGCCTTCATGGTTAGCAGAGCATGGTGTCAACCCTCAACACCTCAACTACCGCCAGCATCTCCACAAACACCTCATTGCCAGAAGCACTACAAACACCAACACCATCACCACACATTCATGTCCTCAGCTAGAGGTTTCTTCACCAACACCATGACCACAAACACATTCATATCCAACAATAGTTCAACCACCAACACCATCACCACAAACACCTCACAGCTAGAACCCCTCAACCACCAACACCATGACCACAAACACATTCATATCCAACAGTAGTTCAACCACCATCATCACCACAGACACCTCACAGCTAGAACCCCTCGACCACCAATACCATGACCACAAACACATTCATGCTCAACAGTAGTGCTACCACCACCATCATCAGACACCTCACAGCTAGAACCCCTTGACCACCAACACCATAATCACAATCATATTCATATCCAACAGTAGTTCAACCACCAACACCATCACCACAGACACCTCACAGCTAGAATTCCTCAACCACCAACACTGTGACCACAAACACATTCATGTCCGACAGTAGTTCAACCACCATCATCACCAGACACCTCACAGCTAGAATCCCTCAACCACCAATACCATAACCACAAACACATTCACGTCCAACAGTAGTTCAACTACCATCATCACCACAGACACCTCACAGCTAGAACCCCTCAACCACCAACACCATGACCACAAACACCTTCAAGTCCAACAACACTCAACCACTATTATCACCACAGATACCTCACAGCTAGAACTCCTCAACCATCAACCCCATGACCACAAACACATTTGTGACCAACAACACTTCAACCACCAACACCATCACCACAAGCACCACCATGAGCAGAAGCACCTTAAATTCATCATGGTTCGGCAACTCTTCGGTCACCAACATCATGACCACATCACTAGCTCCATAGCCAGCAGCACCTCAGCCACAAATCCCATCACCACAAATGCCTCACAGTGAGCAGAGCATCAATCACTAGCGCCATCACCATCAACACCTCATAGTTAGCGGTGCCTCAACTACCATCAACATCACCATAAATCCATCCATGGCCAGCAACACTTCAATCACCAACATTATCACCACATCATCAATTCCACAGCCGGCAGCACCTCAGCCACAAGCACCATCACCAACAACATTTTGACCACCCTCATCACCTGACACCTCATGCCAGCAGCACTTCAACCACCAACAGCAGCACCACAAATAACACCAAGGCCAGAAGCACCTCAATCACCATTATCACCACCCATGGCCAACACCACTTCAATCACCAACAACATCACTACCAACAACTCATGGCCAAAAATGCCACCAACATCTTCATCACAAATGCCTCGTGGCCAATAGTGCCTCAGCCACCAACACCATTATGATAAATACCTCATAGCCAGCGAACATCAACCACCAACACCATCTCCACGAACACCTCCTCAACCACAATTATCATCACTATAAACACACCCATGATCGGCAACACCTCAGTCACCAACACCATGACCACATCACCAGTTCCACAGCCAGCAACATTGCAACCACAAACACTGTCACCACAAACACCTCACAACTAGAAGTACCTCAACCAGCAACACTATCACCACAACTACATTCATGTCTAACAACACAACTACCAACACCATCACCACAAACACATTCATGTCCAACAACACATCAACCACCAACACCATCATCATGAACACATTCATTTCCATCAACCACCAACACCATTGCCACAAACACATTCATGTCCAGCAACATATCAACCACCAACACCATCACCATGAACACATTCATTTCCATCAACCACCAACACCATCACCACAAACACATTCATGTCTAACAACACATCAACCACCAACACCATCACCATGAACACATTCATGTCCAACAACATGCAAGCCACTAACGCTATCACCACAAACACCTTACAGCCAGCAGAACGCCAATCACTAACACCTGCACCATCAATACTTCATGGTTAGCAACACTCCAGCTGACGCCAGTGTCACCACAAACACTTCATGGCCAGAAGCAGCTCAACCACCAACACCATCATCATAAATACGCTCTTGGCCATCAATGCCTCAACTGTTGACATCATTACCATAAATACATCCATGGCCCACAACACTTCAATCACCCACATCATGACCAGCAGCACGTCAGCCACCAACACTGTCACCACAGACACATTCATATCCAACAACACTTCAACTACCACCACCACAAACACCTCGTGGCCGACAGTGCCTCAGCCACCAACCCCATCATGACAAACACCTCATGACCAGCAGCACTTCAACTACCAAGAGACCCCTCCAAGGTCAGTAACACCTTCATCACCAAGATCATTATCGGAGGCACCCACCACCAGCAGCGACTTCCCTCCACCACCCACACCACAGCCAACACCATCTTTACCAACCATACCAGGCAAGTCTTCATCACTGGCACCAACAGCAAAACCAGTGCTGTGGGCAAGTCCATTAGTGATTACCTTTCCCAAGTACCATCTTCACCAACAGCCCTGGTCATCATTACTGGCAGTACCCTCCAAACCAGCACTCCTAGCCAATATCTGGAAAATCGAGATGATTTTTTTCTAGTGGGAGGCTTTGGTCAGGGAGCCAATGGGCTTGCAGGACTGGGTTCCACAATCCCTCAATATGGAGCCAGCTTAGTCTCTTTCTCCCCTTGACCCCAAGGAGACCCCCAGACATGTTGCTATCACCTCCCATGTGGGAGGTTAAACCCACTCTTACTGGATCAAGTCTTTCTTGCTTTAAAATAGATTTTCAGCAGTAGTGTGCACCTGTAATCCCAGCTACTTGGGAGGCTGAGGTGAGAGGATCACTTGAGCCCAGGAGTGTGAGACTAGCCTGGGCAACATAGAAAGAACCCGCTGTAAGAAAGTAGATTTTCCCACAGTGATATGTAGGGAGGGTTCCACAGCACTTGGACAGACATTTTCTGTTTTGTTTTGTTTTTTTGAGACAGAATCTCACTCTGTCACCCAGGCTGGAGTGCAGTGGTGCAATCTCAGCTCACCGCAACCTCCACCTCCCAGGTTCAAGCAATTCTCCTGCCTCAGCCTCCTGAGTAGCTGGGACTACAGGCATCTACCACCATATCGGCTAATTTTTGTATTTTCAGTAGAGATGGGGTTTCACCATGTTGGTCAGGCTGGTCTCGAACTCAAACTCCTGACCTCAGATGATCCACCCATCTCGACCTCCCAAAGTGCTGGGATTATAGGCATGAGCCACCACACCCAGCCATAATTTTCTTTTTTTAAATAGGCAAGGTCTCACCATGTGGCCCAGGCCAGTCTCAAACTCCTGGGCTCAAGTGATCCTCCGCCTCGGCCTCCCAAAATGCTGGGATTACAGGCATGGACCACCATGCCCACCCTCACGTGATCAGATTTTTCTAAGAGGCTTAGAGTCTGCACTAGCTTGAGTTGGGTGTGCTTCTCACCCATGAAATGGTAACCAGTACTCAGTCCTCTGGGGGTGCAGTGTTAAAACAGGAAGAGGTGGCCAGGTGCAGTGGCTCATACTTGTAATCCCAGTGATTTGGGAGGCCAAGATGAGAGGATCCCTTGAGCCCAGGAGTTTGAGGCTATAGTGAGCCATGATTGTGCCACTGCACGCCAGCCTTGGTGACAGAACCAGGCCCTATCTCTAAACAAACAAACAAAATCCCCAAACCCCCCAAACCAGGAAGAGGACATTTCTCAGCCCTTAAAGAAAACTTAATGGGGGCTGGGCATGGTGGCTCACGCCTGTAATTCCCACACTTTGGGAGGCTGAGGTGCGTGGATCACCTGAGGTCAAGAGATCAAGACAAGCCTGGCCAACATGGTAAAACCCCCATCTCTACTAAAAACACCAAAAATTAGCCAGGCATAGTGGTGGGTGCCTATAATCCCAGCTACTCAGGAGGCTGAGACAGGAGAATCACTTGAACCCAGGAGGTTGCAGTGAGCAGAGATCGTGCCATTGCACTCCAGCCTGGATGACAAGAGTGAAATTCTGTGTCAAAAAAGAAAAGAAAAGAAAAAACTTGAGCAGAAGGTGTCTTGATTGTTTGTTAGTCACTCAGAGATAACCACAGAGCTGGGGCCAGATCCCAGACTGTGGGGCTGTATTTGGGGGAGACTTCAGGGGCTGGGGAAGAATTGGGAGGTGACCTGTCAGAAGTAGGCATGGTCCAGAATGCCCCTTCCCCTGTGCCTCTCCCTGAGGAACCACCCTGAGGTTTCTGGCTGGGATTCCCAAAGCCACACCACATCCCAGGGGACCGGACTCCATCACACCAAGCACAGAAACTTCCTCTTCTCTGCCCCAGTTAGGGCAGCTGGGGCTTCCCAGAGGTCAAAGACCAAAAATCAAAGGCAGGGGCATTGGTTGGGGGAATGGCAGGGCTGTAAAACCCCGGTTCCTAATCCATATTAATTTTTTGTTTTTGAGACGGTCTCACTCTGTCATCACCCAGGCTGGAGTGGCGCGATCTCGGCTCACTGCAACCTCCATCTCCCAGGTTCGTGATTCTCCTGCCTCAGCCTCCTGAATAGCTGGGATTACAGGTGCCCATCACTACGCCCGGCTAATTTTTGTGTTTTTAGTAGAGACAGGGTTTCACCACGTTGTTCAGGCTGGTCTTGAACTCCGGACCTCATGATCTGCCCACCTAGGCCTCCCAAAGTGCCGGGATCACAGGCATGAGCCACCACACCCAGCCTAAATATGTTTTTTCTTTAGAGGCAAGGTCTCACTCTGTTACCCAGGCTGGAATGCAGTGACTCAATCCTAGCTCACCACAGCCTGGGCTCCAGTGATCCTCCCACCTCAACCTCCCGAATAGATGGGACTACAGGCACACATCACCAGATCTGGCTAATTTTTTCTTTTTTTTTTTTTTTTTTTTGTTGAGGCAGGGTCTTGCTGTGTTGCCTAGGCTGGTCTCAAACTCCTGAACTCAAGTGACCCTCTTGTCTCAGCCTCCCAAAGTGCTGAGATTATAGGTGTAAGCCAGGACACCTGGTCCCTAGCCCACACTAAGGGCACAGTGACTGAATGGCTGCTCCCTCTGCAACCCGATAGCCTCCTGGGGTCCACACTGCCTCCTCCATTACTGCCACCCCTGGAAAGAGGCCATCATCTCCACTGTCCCATCACTACAGACATTACTGGGCCCCCTGGCCTGGTCAGACAATCTACCATGAGGGTTATGCCCAGGGGAATCCTACAAATGACTCATTACTGGACCACATCAGGCAGAGGACAGCAGCAAGGACAGCCCAGCTATGGTCACCACCAGACTGCTTTAACCCAGAAGAGGAAAAAATTGTAGGAGCCCCCAAATCTGTGAAAGGAATCAGAAAGGCCATTCTTACCAGGCAAAATGGCTCATACCTGTAATCTCAGCATTTGGAGAGGCCGAGGCGAGAGGACTGCTGGAGCCCAGGAGTTCAGGACAAGCCTGGGCAACATAGCGAGACCCTGTCGCTACAAAAAATATATACATATTAGCTAAAGCCAGGTCCAGTGACTCATGCCTGTAATTCCAGCACTTTGAAAGACTGAGGCGGGATGATTGCTGGAGCTCACAAGTTCAACACAAACCTGGGTAACATAGTGAGACCCACGGCTACAAAAAAAATAAAAAACCAGCCAGGCATGGTGGCACACACTTGTAGTCTCAGCTACCCTGGACGCTGAAGTGGGAGGATCTCTTGAGCCCAGGAGTTGGAGGCTGCAGTAAGCTAAGATTGTACCACTGCATTTCAGCCTGGGCAAAAGAGCGACACCTCATCTCTCTCTCAATCTCTCTCTCTTTTTTTTTTTTTTTTTTTTGAGGCAGAGACTTGCTCTGTTGCCCAGTCTGGAGTGCAGTGGTGCAATAAAAGAGAGCATGATCTTGGCTCACTGCATGCAACCTCTGCCTCCCAGCTTCAAGTGATTCTCCTGCCTCAGCCTCCCAAGTAGCTGGGACTACACACGCCCACCATGCCCAGCTAACTTTTTTTTTTTTTTTTTTTGAGATGGAGTCTTGCTCTGTCACCCAGGCTGGAATGCAGTGGCACGATCTCGGCTCACCACACCTGGCTAATTTTTGTATTTTTAGTAGAGATGAGGTTTCACCATGTTGGTCAGGCTGGTCTTGACTTGAACTCCTGACCTCGGTTGATCCACCGGCCTCGGCCTCCCAAAATGCTGGGATTACAGGCATGAGCCACCTCGCCTGGCCAAGACCCCATCTCTTAAAAAACAAAATAAGGGGTGTTTCATGTGTGCCCCATGTGTCCTGCCCCATCAGAAACTTGGTCCTAAACCCGTCATCACACACCCCTTTGCCTCGCATCCAAGCACACTCCCTACCCCACGCTTCTATTTTTGTGTCCCCTGGATGACACTCAGGCCACACAAACGTATAGGCACGCTGCCTCACGTCGCACACCCGTGCCGTCGCTCACATCTGCCAACACACCCGAGGCCCAGGTGCGGTCACACACCATCCCACGCAGAGACTCAACACTCACCTCTGGACACCTGCAGCTCCGTCTGCAGCTTCCTCACTTCCTGCCAGAGCCTTCCCAGCAAATCCGAAGCTGTGTGCCTCTCATTCAATTCTTGGGGAGTCAAGGTGGGGGGTGGTGCTCAGAGACCGACGGGCAGGCCCCTCCTTGTCCCTTCCCTCCTCCATTGCCCCATCCCCTCCCAAGCCTTACCCTGGGACTTGAAGCTGCTCAGATCTGCTTCAAGTCCATTCAGGTTCTGGTGCAGCTCAGAGTCTGGTGTGTGCAGGAGCGCACGGCTGGTCTCAGGGATGATGTGTACGGGCTGAGGGCGTCCTCCAGCCTGGGCCCCAGCCTCATGCTCCCCTAGGACTCTGAGACACTCCCTCCTTCCCACCCAATCTGCCTCCATGCCCCCAACCCCAGTCTCTCACCCCGAGAATTCATTCTCTGCTGTTCAGCTCGAAGTTCCTCCAGGCTCTGTGAAATCTCCGTGGCTGTTTGCAGAGGGGCTTCATGCTAAGCAGGTCCTTATTGTCTCCCCCGCCTCCCCACACCCATCCCTTGGCCTCTTTGCCTGGGTTCTTCCCCCCCACCCAAGATGGAGTCTTGTTCTGTCGCCCAGGCTGGAGTGCAGTGGCGAGATCTCGGCTCACCACAACCTCCGCCTCCCAGGTTCAAGCAGTTAATCCTGCCTCAGCCTCCTGAGTAGCTGGGATTACAGGCACGTGCCACCATGCACGGCTGATTTTTGTATTTTTAGTAGAGATGGTGTTGCACCATGTTGGTCAGGCTGGTCTCGAACTCCTGACATCATGATCCACCTGCCTCAGCCTCCCAAAGTGCTGGGATTACAGACGTGAGCCACCGCGCCCGGCCTGCCTGGGTTCTAAAGGCCACCTGCTCAGTCTGCAGTTCATGGGTGTGTGTGTGGGGGGGGAGGGGGGCGCACAGTGAGTCTTAATGCTCTCGGTCCATGAAGTCATCCAAGACCCCCTTCCAAGACCCCAACTCCAGGGCTCACTCACCCTGGGATTTCTGCGCCATCTGGTCACCCTGGTATCTTTCAAAGTACTTGGAAACTTGAGAGACTGGAGTGGCAGGAGAGAAGATATATCCCAGTAACCTCAAAGGCAGTTCCTCGGACCCCGCCCATGCCCCAGGCTCAGGGACCTGTTCACATAGTTGCAACAGCTGCTGCTGCTTCTCACTCATTTATGCAAGAATATAATGAACCTGCCTACCTTTTCCTCACCAGATTAACTATAAAAGCAATAGGCATCTATCAGAGCACTTCACAGATCTTAGAGCTTGTTTCTATCTCACGGTGCTAAAACTATGCCCATTTTACAGATGAGGAAACGGAGGCACAAAGCAGTTACAAACTCCTTACGCTACAGATGTGTAAGCCTGCGGATTTGCAATGGCTCAACTTAAAATAGCTCGAGTTACAATGGCTCGACTTTATGATGGTGTGAAAGCAATATGCATAGTGGAAACCCTATTTCTCTTGCAATGCTGGGCAGTGGTGGGGAGCCTAAGCCTTCAGGCAGCCACGCAGTTTTGACTTACACTATTTTCAATGTACTATAGGCTGATGGGGACATAACCCCATTGCAAGTGGAAGAGTATCTGTATTCAGATGCTATCAGGCAGTTTTCCAACTTCCTTGGGTCCCCACCTTCCCTAGGACGCGGAGCAACTTATGCTGACCCTCAGTTCCTTAGAGAGGGGACACTGAGGCACAGGGAGGAGCGGGATGAGAGCTGGGCATCCTAAGCCTCACTCCCACCCCCCTCTACCTTGGCTCCTGCATACCGTTCCGGGCAGCTCTCTCTTCCAGCTGTTTCAGATTCTGTGTGGTGTCCTTGTCTGGGGAGGGAGAGAGAAGAGGCGTGGAGAGAGGGAATTGTCAGGTGCTCCCACCTCCCTGCACCCACCTCCCAGCTGGGGATGGAGGGCTTGGGTAAAGCCGTAACGGTGCTGAAGGGCGGAGGACAGAGATGCTGGGTGGGGTGAGGGGCTCTGGCGGACGGGGCATGGGGAGAGCTGGCAGTGTCATGGTGGGAGGTTGGGCTTTTGCGGTCAGTTGGGCTCCCCAGGCTCTGAGATGGGGGTGTGGGAGGGAACACAGAGGGGCTTCGTGGGTACGGGGGACCACATGGGGCTGGGGGTCCTCACGCCATAGGAGAAGTAGAATCAGCAGCCCAGCCCACAAAGCAGCGGTCAGCAGCCCCAGCAGCACGGTCCGAGTCCAGTGCCTGCAGCACCCCTTCTTCCTGGAAAGCTCCTCGATCTCTGCCGGGCGTTGGAGGGACTGACTATGGGCGCAGGGTGAAGCTGGACTCTGGCTCCTGTCTGTCTCCCCATTACCTAGAGCCCCTGACAGCCTGGGAGCCTGTCCAGAGTCCACACTGAAGCAGAGGGTCTCAGTGGACCCCTAGCTCCCATATGCACAGCTTCCTTACCTGACTTAGATCTGGGTCGCTATCCACAGAGATAGATCTGGGACCAAGAGCTAAGACTCCCTCAATCCCCCTAACTAATGCCAGGTCCCCAGCCTCACTTCCAGGAGACTGGGTCCTGGTTTTCCCTTCCTTCCTTAACCCCAGCCCCCACCCTTACACCTCTGCACCTTCAGCTCTACCCTGTTGCCTGTCCCCAACCCGGAACCCCTTCCCTAAATGTAGGACACCAAGTCCCAGTGCTTCCCAACACTCTGAGAGTCACTCTCCAGCCCCTTTCCCAGTTACCACCCAACACCCGGACCTCCAAAGCTCACCCAGGCCCCACGCAACACCCGGACCTCCAAAGATCTACCTGGATGTCCCACCGCAAGCCCCCGGCCCACTGCACTCACCCTGGCTTGGAGGATTCATTATGCTAAATTCTGCTTGTCCCAAGTTCCTGTTCGACTTAGCCTCTGACTCTATTGGACTCCCAGCTCCCTAGCTGGAGCCGTTTTTTTGAGGGGGGCAGGAGAAGGGTGTGAAGTCAGAAAAAGGAGGGGCCCTCAATTTCTTCTCCTTCCTGGCTCTCCACCAGGAAAGTCGGTCCTGTGTCACTTCCTTACCCATGCTTGGTTCTGTTCTTAGAAATTCACCCTCCTTCTCAGAGAGGGACTGGGAAGCCCCCTTCTCTCCTGGGTAAAAGGCCGTAGGGAAGCATCTTTGCTTCTGCCAGCGTGAGAACCAGAGGGTCCTCCTACCTGAATATTGACCTTCCTCCATGGCAGTCCTGCTTGGATTCTCCCGATGATGGGGCACTCACTCCCTGACAAGGCAATCCACTCAGCGGGCACAGTCACAGCTCTGGCTGGAATCTGGGTTTGAATGACGGTTAGGGTGAGGCGACAAACCCTAGTTACTGGCGCAGGGCAGCATCTGGGACTTGGGGGACTCGGTGACCATTTGCTGATTTTGTTTAGTCTACAATCTGGAATGAGTAGGGCGGTTAGTAGGGAGACACAGCTATTGTGGAGAGAGCAGCCTGCGATCAGAAGTGGGGCACCCCAGAGCCCATCACACTTGAGTTACACAGCAGTTGCACCCACGTGATCTTGACAAATGGCTTAATTAATCTGGAAACTTCCTTCCTCCTTTGTAAAATGATGATACTGAGAATACCTATACTGCTGGTTGGTGAGCTGTGCTAAAAATATCACCAGCTTTTATTCTAATTACTTTGTCTGTGCGACCTCAGCCAAGGAGTCAAGCATTCTCAGCCTGAATTTTCCCCTCCGTAAAATGGGCTGAGGACAGCACCCAACTCATAAGATAGGATCAAATGAGATCACAACATACCTGAGGCTTTTGGTGCTGTGCTGCGCACAGTGGGTCTTCAGATCCTAAACGTTTATGAAGCATCTACTCTGTGCCATGTCCCACTGTGAAATGCTTAGAGCCCATGACCCACGCCTCAGCCTTCTCCTCTGCCAATGTGCCCAGGGCACCGGGAAAATGCTCTCACTTTACTTATTTATTTTGAGATGGAATCTCACTCTGTTGCCCAGGCTGGAGTGCAGTGGCATGAACTCAGCTCACTGCAACCTCCACCTCCCAGGTTCAAGCAATTCTCCTGTCTCAGCCTCCTAAGTAGCCGGGATTACAAGCACATGCCACCATCCCCAGCTAATTTTTATATTTTAGTAGAGACAGGTTTTCACCGTATTGATCAGGCTGGTCTCAAACTCCCTGACCTCAGGTGATTCACCTGCCTCGGCCTCCCAAAATGCTGGGATTACAGGCGTGAGCCACTGCACCTGACCAAGTCCTCTGACTTTATTTCATTTTATTATTTGAGACGAAGTCTCGCTCTGTCACCAGGCTGGAGTGCAGTGGTGTGATCTCAGCTTACTGCAGCCTCCACCTCCAGGGTTCAAGCAATTCTCCTGCCTCAGCCTCCCAAGTAGCTGGGACTACAGGTGTGCACCACCACACCTGGCTAATTTTTGTATTTTAGTAGAGACAGGGTTTCACCTTATTGACCAAGCTGGTCTCAACCTCCTGACCTCAGGTGATCCACACACCTCAGCCTCCCAAAGTGCTGGGATTACCGGCATAAGCCACCACGCCTGACCAAGTGCTCTGACTTTAAAGCATCTACTATGTGCTGAGGAGCATGAGATTTGGGGTCATTCAGGCCTGGAGGTCACCGGCTACCTTCTTTCGCTGCCTGACTATAGGTAAGTCCCTTATCTCGGAGCCTCAGGGAGGTGGGGGTGTGGTGCGGCCAGGCGCTGATGAGTGGCAGCTCAAGCTGGCCCTTTTGATATTGTGAGAGGAGTCCGGAGATGTCACCATCCTGGGGAGGCAGACGGACAGATCTGAGCCAAGTCCTGGCTTCTCCCTGGGCGAGCAACCCACTTTCCTCATCTGCAAATTGGGCATATTCAAAGCACTGGCACACAGTAGATGGTCAGTAAACCTACCGGCAGGATGCTGGGGGAGCATCCCCATTCTGTGGGGCCTCTCTCAGTGGAACTGAGGTACCAAGAGGGAAGGTCATTTGTCCCTGTCGTGCAGTGGTGGGGCTGGGACTCAAACCCTAGACATTTGACCTGGGAGCCTATTTCCTCAATCATCGGGAGACACAGTGTCCTGGTGGGGTGTCTACTGGTAAGTGTCGGGTGGCGGGATCCTGACTCCAGGCCTTCCTTCTAACCCAAGAGGTCCCGCCTCTGTCTAGAGCCTTCCATGGCTCCCCAGCGTCCTCTATGATCGGCCCAGCGCACTCACCAAGCTCATCTCAGACCAGATGGCCTGCTCTCACTTCCCCAAATCAGGATCTGAATGCCTCCAGATTCTGTCCACGCTGTGGCCCCCACCCCACCACCACCCACCACCTCCCTTCTCTGGCTGCGACCTCTTCCTGGTCATCCCTCGAGGCTCAGCCCAAGAGCGCTTCGATCTCCGCTTCCCAGGGCCAACCCCGACACACACAGATACATACTCACGAAGCGGAGTTTGGAGCCTGTGTCTGTCCTCCCACTGCGTTGGGGTCAACCAGAGAGATTGGCAGGGACCGTCAGGGACAGAGGTTTAAGCAGGAAGAGAGACACTTTCTTCAGAAAGCAGACCAGCTGACAGCCGCTATTTTCAGACACCTAAATATGGGCTTGCCACCCGGATAACGTTACACGCATGGCCTCGCCTGGCATTCCCCACACCCCAGTGAAGTCCGTGCTATTATTACCTCCACTTCTCAGGTAGGAGAATCGGGTGAGAACCAGAGATGCTAAGAAGGAAGTTCCCACAGGGCTGAAGGAGGTGCACGGTAGCGTCAAGATTTGAACCAGGGGTATCGCAGACTGAATCATTATGCCACTGTGGCAGATCGCATAGGGCCCTGGGGAGCCATGGAAGGCTCTAGGCAGAGGCGGGACCTCTTGGATTAGAAGGACGGCCTGAAGTTGGGATCCCGCCACCCGACACTTACCAGCAGACGCTCCACCATGAGATGATGTCTCTCGATGATGGAGCAAATAGGGTCCCAGGTCAAATGTCCCAGGTTCGAGTCCCAGCAGGAAAAAAGGGAAGAGGAGAGAGAGGCAGAGGAAGGGAAGAAAAAGACAGGAAGAAAGAGGGGAAGAAGAGGAACAGGAGGGAAGGAGGGAACGGGGAAAAAGAAAGATACGTGAGGTAGCATTCAGTCAAATGTGGACAGTTGCCGGGTGTGGTGGCTCATGCCTGTCATCCCAGCACTCTGGGAGGCTGAGGTGGGAGGATCAGTTGAGCCTAGGAATTCAAGACCAGCATGGGCAGCATAGCAAGCTGTTGTCTCTACAAAAAATATATAAAAATTAGCAGGCATGGTGGCGCATGTCTGTGGTCCCAGCTACTGGGGAGGCAGAGGTGGGAAGATCACTTGAGCCCAGGAGCTGAAGATCAGCCTGGGCAACACAGTGAGATCCCATCTCAAAAAAAGAAAGAGAGAGAGAGAGAGAGAGAGAGAGAGAGAGAGAGAGAGAGAGAGAGAAGGAGAGAAGGAAGGAAGGAAGGAAGGAAGGAAAGAGGAAGAGAGGGGAGGGAGGGGAGGAAGGGAAAGAAGAAAGGAAAGAAGAAAGAAGAAAGGGTCAGTTATTCACTCAACAGACATGCACCAAGGGCCACTTGGTCCAGGATGACAGAGAAGACAGAATGGTCCCAGCTGTTCTGGAGGGCAGGGTCCTGGGGACATTCCAGCCAGGCCCCTCCCTGACATGGTGGGGACGTTCAGCCCCAGTGGATGGCCAGCCCAGTCACCCCCCCGGTTGCGAGGTGGGTTGTAGGGGCACAGGTGGGCATCTTCTGGAGTGAGAGAAGAAAGCCCTTCTCTGTTTCGTCCCTGAATGACAACCACCTGCTCATGTCTTCTCTCTGCCTACAGCTGTCCATGGCTCCCTTCTGTCCTGGACATGGGAGGTGGCCCACCGAGGAGTGGGGATTTAGAGTTCCCCAGTTGAAAGTGAGGAGGGGGTAAAGGATCAGGGGATGCATTTTGGAGAGGATAAGGAGGGTGGGCAGAGTGCCAAGGGGTCTTAGTAAATAGAAGGCTAGGTGGCATAGTGGCCAGGGCTGCAGATGCCTGACACACACTGCCTGGGTTCAAATTCCTGGCTCTGCTGTTGAAGTGCTGTGTGACCTTTGGCAAGGTACTTAACCTCTCTATACTTCACGTAAGGCAGCATTGATCACCAAAGCTTCAAATTCCTAGGGTGGTGGTGAAAATTAGATCGTTACTATGCACACGAGACTCTAAGAACTGTGCCCGGCCAGGCGTGGTGGCTCACGCCTGTAATCCTGACACTTTGGGAGGCTGAGGTGAGTGCATTACCTGAGGAGTTTGAGACCAACCTGGCCAACACATTGAAACCTCATCTCTACCAAAAAATACAAAAAGTATTCAGGATTGGTGGCGGGCACCTGTAATCACAGCTACTCGGGAGGTTGAGGCAGGAGAATTGCTTGAACCCGGGAGGCGGAGGTTGTAGTGAGCCGAGATCACGCCACTGCATTGCAGCTTGGGTGACAGAGTGAGACCCTGTCTCAACAAACAAACAAACAATCCCAGTGCCCAGCATCTGTTGCTGCTAAATTATACTATAGAACAAAATCATCTATATTTTTTTTACAGACAGGGTCTCACATCTGTCTCCCAGGCTGGAGTGCAGTGGTGTGATCACGAACTCACTGCAGCCTCAGCCTCCTGAGGTTCAAGAAATCCTCCTAGCTTCAACTCCTGAGTAGCTGGGACCACAGGCACACACCACCATGCCTGGTTAATTTTTAAAACTTTTTGTAGCGATAGGGTCTCACTACGTTGCCCAGGCTGGTCTCAAACTCCTGGGCTCAAGCGATCTTCCTGCCTCAGCCTCCCAAAGCAGGGTTTACAGGCATAAGCCACTGCGCCCAGCTGGAGTCTGGTGTTTCTGAGCCAGCCCCACCCCGCACCCCTGCCCCCTCCCCTGGCTCCACCTTCCCGGGTGTGAAAGCCCTGCCTGCAGCTCAAACACTAGAATGCTCTGGGGCCCCTGGGACCCCGTCTCGGGACTGCCCCACCTGCGTCCCCTCTGCGGTGTCAACACGCCTCCTGGTCATTTCGGGCGAAAAACAGAAAGCTGTGCGGATGTGGGCCCCAGATCCGTGGGTGTTGCTTCTTCTTTCAGATTTGGGATCCTCTGGGCGTTGGGGGAGCAGCGTCTCTCTCCTCGTTTGACCTAGATCAGGACTGAAAAGGAAGGAGTCTGGGCTGGCCAGCAATGACGACCCTAAACCATCCCCAGCAGAGTTCTCATCCTAGCCCTAACTCGATCCCCTCACCCTACGATGCTCTGATCCCAGCCCTAACCTTTGCTTGGCACAGGACTAAGGCACGTCCGAGGCTCTAATCACGGAACCTCCATACTGGGGACGGGACCTGGCTCTTTGTCCCAACGGGATGGAGCCTGGCAACCCTGACCCTAACTCCATCCCGACGCAGCCCTGGGCTCCCCTACCTGTTTAACCTCTCCTGGGGTTACGAGTGGGAGAAGGAAAGGGTGTGGGGTTGGGGAGGAAGGGGAGGAAGGGCAGGAGGTGTGTCAAATCCAGAGGGGCTTCCAGGAGGAGGTGTGTTCAAAGCTGGGTTTCTCCCACACTGTACTGTTGACTTTGGGGCTGATGATTCCTTGCTGGGATGTCGTCCTGTGCATTGTTGGATGTTTAGAAGCATCTCTGGCCACTTGTAGCCAAGAGTCATCAGGCTGAGAAGCACTGCTTTGAAAACATGATTCCTAGATCATGCTTTTGCTTGTTTACATTGTGGCAAAATATGCATAACATAAAATCTACCATCGTAACCTTTTTTTTTTTTTTTTGAGACAGAGTCTTGCTCTGTCACCAGGCTGGAGTGCAATGGCTCGATCTCGGCTCACCGCAACCTCCACCTCCCAGGTTCAAGCGATTCTCCTGCCTCAGCCTCCTGAGTAGCTGGGATTACAGGCATTCGCCACCACACCTGGCTAACTTTTTACATTTTAGTAGAGACGGGGTTTCACCATGTTGGCCAGGATGGTCTCGATCTCCTGACCTCGTGATCCGCCCGCCTCGGCCTCCCAAAGTGCTGGGATTACAGGCGTGAGCCACCGCACCCAGCTGGAATTTGGAGTTTTTGAGCTCTACAAGCTCTACGAGCCCAGATGTCCCTCCTGGGACTGGGGCCCCCAGAGGCAAAAGCTGTGCTCCTCTCCTAGCAGGGCCAGGAGGGCAGCCCGGAGTCACAGTCACACACACCCCTCTCCCTCCCCTTCCCGACCCTCACTAAGGCAGAGAGCCCACCAACAGGAAGAGGAAAAGGGTGTGTGAGCTGAGGAGAGCCTGGAGCTGCATTTCTGCATTCCTGGAACCTTGGGATCTGGAGGCCAGCTGTCTTGTTGGTGTGGATTGTGGCAGTGGGGCGGGGAGAGCTTGCGGGGACTGTTATGTGTGGCCAGGAGTCCTCAGGATGAGAGGGAACACAGAGATGGGCCTGTCCGCACCCTTCCCTCCAGATGGCCCCCCGGAACTCCAGGAGGGGGGTCCTGGATCCCCTACTCATTGCCTCCCTGTCCCCTCCCCTCAAAGCCCCAGGATACTTTCAGGGACCAGAGAGCTGAGCCAGCAGGTCCTGGGACTCCAGAGAGCAGCCCAGGCATAGCCCGGGAGATTTGGGGATTTCTCTCCAAATGCCCTCAGAGACCCCAAAATCCTGGACTCCAGGCTCTACCCTCACAGACCCAGGCCTTCACCTTCCTGGAGACCCAGGAAGCCAGGTCCCCAGACCCTATCCTCAGGGACCCAGACTTAGTCTCTTAAAAACCCAGAGACAGCCAGGCCCCCAGACCCCTGGGAATTTGGTGTGGGATCTCGTGTTTTTCTCCTCCATCCCTGCTGTTCTCATGCCAGTTTCTGGATCTGCCAGGACAGTGTGTGTTGAGGGGGTGCTGCCCCTTTGCCGGATGCACCTGGTCACTGTCCCCACTGATGTGGGTGAGTAAAGGCCGTGGGGGCCCAGGCCAGCTGCACCTGTTTACCTGCTGTGTGACTTAATCCTCTCTGGGCCTCAGTTTCCTCATCTGTAAAATGGGGATAAACACAGTTCTGTCACATAGGTTGCTGTGTGCATAAAGCCTTCAGCCCAATGCCAGATATGGGGAGGCTCTCAATACACAGGAGCATTTTTAGTGCATTTTCCAGAAAAACATCTCTCCCATAATTAACCAGCCCCCAACCCAGCAGCCTACAAGGCTGTGTGTGGCTGACACTTTTCCCTCTCCATTGCCTCCTCTGTACGCCCCTCCAGTGGCAATGGCCTGCCTTTCTCTTTCATCTTTGGAGAGATGGTCTCGCTCTGTTGCCCAGGCTGGAGTGCAGTGGTATGATCATGGCTCACTGCAGCCCCAACCTCCTGGGCTCAGGCGACCCTCCCACCTCAGCCTCCTGAGTAGCTTGGACTACAGGCATGGGCCACCACGCTCAGCTCATTTTATTTTATTTTTAATTAATTAATTAATTAACTTTTTAAAATGGAGTCTCACTCTGTCACCCAGGCTGGAGTGCAGTGGTGTGATTTTGGCTCACTGCAATCTCCTCTTCCCAGGTTCAAGTGATTCTCCTGCCTCAGCCTCCCGAGTAGCTGGGATTACAGGTGCATGCCACCATGCCTGGCTAATTTTTTTGTATTTTCAGTAGAGACAGGGTTTGACCAGGCTGGTCGCGAACTCCTGAGCTCGTGATCTGCCCCCCTTAGCCTCCCAAAGTGCTGGGATTACAGGCATGAGCCATCGTGCCTGGCCACCAGCTAAGTTTAATTTTTTTTGTAGAGATGAGGATTTTGCTATGCTGCCCAGGCTGGTCTCCAGCTACTGGCCTTAAGCAATCCTTCTGCCTCGGCTTCCCGAAGCACTGGGATTCCAGGCATGAGCCACCAGGTCCTGCTCTTTCTTCATCTTCACAGCCAGAAGCGCAGCCTCTTCCAGTCTCTCTCTGACTCTCACCCTCCTGCCTCTTCTTCTAAGGACTCTGATGACATAAGGCCACCTGGAGAATCCAGGGCGATCTCCCATCTCAAGACCCTTAATGTAACTCCATCTTCAGACCCCCTTTGCCATAGAAGGTGACCTGTTCACCGGTTCCAGGGATTAGGATGTAGACATCTCTGGGGAGCTGTTATTCGGCTGACCACAATACCCTAAGAGACAGATGCTGTTATTATTATTATTATTTTACATTTGAGAGGAGTCTCACTCTGTTGCACAGGCTGGACTGCAGTGGCGTGATCTCAGCTCACTGCAGCCTCCTTGTCCCAGGTTCAAGTGATTCTCCTGCCTCAGCCTCCTGAGTGGCTGGGATTACAGGCATGCACCACCACGCCTGGCTAATTTTTGTATTTTTAGTAGAGACGGGGTTTCACCATGTTGGCCAAGATGGTCTTGATCTCTTGACCTCATGATCCACCCACCTCGGCCTCCCAAAGTGCTGGGATTACAGGCATGAGCCACCTCGCCTGGCTTATTATTTTTATTTTTAAAAGGAGTCTCGCTCTGTTGCCCAGGCTGGAGTGCAGTGGCGTGATCTCGGCTCTCTGCAGCCTCCTCGTCCCAGGAGGCTGCAGAGAGCCGAGATCAAGCAATTCTCGTGCCTCCGCCTTTCCAGTGGCTGGGACTACAGGCATGCGCCACCATGCTTGGCGAATTTTTGGAATTTTTGGTGGAGATGGGGTTTCCCTATGTTGGCCAAGCTGGTCTTGAACTCCTGGCCTTAAATAATCCACCTGCCTCGGCCTCCCAAAGTACTGGCGTTACAGGAGTGAGCTGCCATGCCCGCCAAAACTCTGGGTGTTTTGTTGGTGTCTGCTACCTTCATCCTTCTGAGCTGTGTCTGGCTCTGGGAATGGAAAGAAAAGAGACAGGAAAGGTAAGAATCCTCATGGGAGTTTGGGGGACAGACCTGTCGAGGAGACGGCCTGCCCTCTTTGGAGAGCCCCCTGGGGACTTCCCCACACTCCCCAAGCCTTCCTAGGAAGAAGCCCTTGGGATCTGAGGGGGTTTCCTGGGATCAGGGGGAGAGGGGTGGGGGGGGCCGATAAGAACAGACTACTCTGTCTCAAAGTCATGTCCCTGGAAAGTGGGGACACCATGGGGCTGGTCTACCCAGGAAACCCTAGCTGGCTTCCAAGATCACCAGCAATTTGCTGACTGAGCCCCAGAGAGAGTTGCCCTGGGGTCACTCAGGGAGCTATTGGTGGGGACGCCCCCTAAAAAGAATCAGGGAGCATCTGGGAGGTGCCCCACCTGCCTCCATGCCCTGCTTCCCAGCACAAGCCCCCTTTGGACTCTCTGAGGCAGACCTTACGTTCTCTCCCTGGACCCCATTCCCCAGGCTGGAACTGCAGTGGAGGGGGCATTGCTGTTCCAGAGTTGTTCATGTCGAACCTCACCACATGGGCACAGCCTTTCTATCTGTCCTCACCACCTCTTCCTGTCTCTGCCAGGTTGTGGGCCCCAGGAGGGCAGCAACCATGACCTGAACCGAACATTTTCCTACGACAATTATCTTTTCTTTTCTCTTCCCCTTCCTTACCTACTTCTTCCTTCCTGTTGAGACAGATTGTCACTGTGTCACACAGGCTGGAGTGCAGTGGTGCAATCTCAGCTTCACCTGCAAGCCTCTAACTCCCAAGTTTAAGTAATTCTCCTGCCTCAGTCTCCTGAGTAGCTGGGACTAGAGGCATCCACCACCATGCCCAGCTAAATTCTGTATTTTTAGTAGAGATGGGATTTTTGCCATGTTGGCCAGGCTAGTCTCGAACCCTTGACCTCAGGTGATCCACCCGCATTGGCCTCCCCAAGTGCTGGGATTACAGATGTGAGCCACCACACCTGGCCAAATGTTTTTTGTTTTTTCCTAATTAAAATATTTTTGGCCAGGCATGGTGGCACACACAGTGTAATCTCAGTGCTTTGGGAGGCCGAGGCAGGAGGATGGCTTGAGGCCAGGTGTTTTAAGACCAGCCTGGGCAACACAGCAAGACCTCCATCTGTACAAAAAAAAATTAGCCAAGCATGGTGGTGTGTGCCTGTAGTCCTGGCTACCGGGGAGGCTGAGGTAGGAGGACCACTTGAGCCCAGGAGATCAAGGCTGTAGTGAGTTATGATTGCACCACTGCATTCCAGCCTGGACGACAGAGTGAAACTCTATCTCAAAA